AACCAGGACACAGGAATATAATGAATAAGAACTCCTATCGCGTACTGTTTCATTTTCAGTAATATTAAAGGTTAACTCATGTCAATGCTATTATCTGCCTTTTAAATCATTACCACTTTTGGCTACCTGTGTCTCACATGGTGCATCTTGCCACAGAAACCCAGAGTAGTTTGCATATCAGACTTTTCTGTAGGTTAAGCAAAAGTAATTACAATTTATTATTTCCCATTAATGCAGATGACATATTTTCCTTCAATAAGATGTACTATAGCTATCCTTTACCATCAAATATGAGGTGTGAGTTAAGTTTTTTAAGAACAGGATTAAGTTCATTTTTTGGCGTATATTTAAATCGTGCTCTTTAATAGTGAGCACCATGTTTTCAGTCATTTATTTTGCATTTTATGTGATAATCCATGAAGTATCTCAACGGTTTTTCAGGTGCATGCTACAAATCTGTAGTTACAAACCAGAGATGGATCTCCCTGTCATAAAAAGGCAGCCTCAGTGCTGAGTATAGATAAAATGAAGCACACTCTGTAAGAAATTTAAGGATGCTAATTAATGTAAAGGCTATTGCATGAACATTGCGTCTCTCAGAGCTATAGATATTTTTCATTTAGGTTGTTTTGCAGTTTTTTGTAATCTGAAAGAGTATAGGCCTGATCTTTTTTTTTTATTATTCTTTCTTTTCAATCAGACAAGTCTATTGCTCATAAAGTCTAACAAACTGAGATGGGAACTACTAACTCCCTCCTGAGCTCCATGAACATCATCATAAAGGGCATCATATTTTTTAATATATATATATAACCTTTTCTGTATGCAGTACAACTTCTTCCACTTCAGGTAGTGCCACCACAGTTTTATTAAAACAGAACTCCAGGGGAATATTTGAGGAACTCAGAAGTTTCATCTCAGGCAGGCGTGCAGGATTGCACCCTTGTAAGAAATGAAAGAGCTTGAAAGGAACTTACCAAAGGTGTGGGAATGAGAGCCCTGGGATCTCAGCCCTTATTCCAATGCTGGCTGAGCAAAAGGGGGTTGGTTTTGTTTATTCTTGATTCTGGGAATCTTTCATCTCTTTCTGCATGGTCACCAGGCTTCAGTGGGAGGAATGAGGAACAGGAGGTGAGGGTTTGAACCCAAACAAGCTGAAGAAAGCAATTCCAGAGTGCACGCTGTTACCCCTTGTGTGCTAACATGCAAAACTGGAGAATAATTTCTTCCTCCTGATAAGCTTCTGAGACCTACGATAGAATTCAGTGGGGTCTGAAAGTGCATGAGATGTGTTTGTGGGACCAGCGCTTTCAGAGCTGTGGTGCCTTTATATGCCTGCTCTGAATCTGACAGCAAAGGTTAAACAAGTCACACACATAGATGCCAGTGCTGCAGTGGCTGCTTGGGTTTAGACCTAACATAGGAACATTTGGTGAAAGAGAGTTAATGAGTGATCTTAGGACTACATCATGCTGGAAAACTGGTGTTCAAAATCACTCTGAGATCCCAAAGTGATTTATCTTGCCTACAACTAGTTGCCTCCAATCACTCAACAGAAATCCATCTTAATTCACTCCTCCCAGGTTTTATAAACAGTCTTTTTTTGGCCCTAAAGCTTATTCAATGAACAGCCAGCCATAGCTTTAAATGTACTTTTTTTGTCTCTAATCATTTTTCTCCCCCTTTTAAATAGATAACCTCATTTTCTTCTTAGAGATTATATAAAAGTTTTTTTTAATTTGTTTAATTCTGTTTCACAGTATTCAGAAGGATTCACCATTCAGCAGTAGATAAACAGATGACTTTATTGTTGTTTACTTCCAAAACTGATTGAATATAAATTCCTTATCATTATCTTTCAAAAGTTTGTTTATAATACTCTTTCATTTTTCAGAAGATAGACCTGTTTTTCCCTAATCCCTGTAATTCACATTTTTCTGACTTGAGCTTTTATTCAACAAAAATGGGATACTCTCTTAAAACTGCAGAATCAAGGAGAGTAAATCCACAGAGAACACTTATCGTTCAAAAAAACGATAAATTACTCCTCTACCATTCAATTGTCTGCAGATAACTTCTGTACACCCACACACTCCCTTGAGCCCCTGCATGGGATTGTTTAGGTGTTTTCATTGGGCGATAAATAGAATTAGAGTGCACCATTTATAAGAACTATTTAAATGGCATCAAAGGTAAAAATATGACCATAATAAAGAAAACAGAATTCCCCTGGAATGGTATTATCTCTTGGTTTCTATCTACAAGTATAATAGGAACTATCCTGCATAACTTTAAAATTGGGTGTGGTAAACACGACATCCAGAAAGTTCTATGGCAGCATTTCTCACTCTAGCTGCAATTTGAGGCAGTACCTAGATGAGGAAAGCAGCGTGTCATCCCGATGGTACTGTGTGCTGCTTTGGGTGAAGAACACCATTACCTGCCACTGTCAGTCCACAGTTCCCAGTGTATTAACACTATCATTAATACAGCTTCTTTTGAAATTCTTAAAACTTTGATTTTTTGTCATTACAATGTCTCCATGTACTCAGGCAGGCATTTTAAAGTACAGTGTCATGTGTGGCAAGTCAGTGACATATTTGTCAATGATAAACAGCAAGCCTTATCTTGTGAGTGGGCACCTTCCCCAGCACCACGGGTTTAAGATGTGCTCATAGTGAAAAAATGCTATATTTCAGGTCTAAGTATTTGCTAAAACTAGCCTTCCAACTACAAAAGGGTGTAGTCCCACCTGCATTTATCTGACAGATAGCCTAACATGGCAATGGAGTGTTGAACAGTTTATGAGAGACATGAACTGCGTTCATCCCAGTGGCTCTCTGAATCCTGCCCAGTTCCCAGTGTCCTTGCTTCAAAGCAACGGAGGCAGGGGAACATGTGGCAATGTGTCTGTCCTCTCAGCTGACAGCAAAACAGCTACACAGAAAAATACAGGCTCAAACTTATGGTCTTCTCTTAAGCAGGCTACAAGCTCAGACTGACCTGTCTATAAATAATTTAGAGGGTATAATTTAATCTGTGCAATGGATTCAGTGTGTTTCCCCCACATTCAGTGAGACCACATATACCTTATTACTCGGTGTATTCAGATACCACTGAAAAAAGTCCTCAAATTTTTCATGCTGGAAAGCATAGGAAAGCACCTTTGTTTGGGGAAAAGAATTAAGCAAAATTTTATTCCAACAATGCACTGAGAAGTAAGCATACAATACTGAAAATTAAGCAGGTGCTAAAGTGTTTGCCGAAGACATGGGACATCCTGCCAGGATGCATTCCCTGATTCACTTATATCTCAAGTATAGAAGCCTCTGGAGTTAATCTGTCTGGGGGCTGAATGAACACTCACCTGCAATTCACAGGATGCTCCTCCACACCAGCTCCCTTTGTGAGAGGAGACTGCATGTCAAAAGTACCAGACACTTCTGACATGCAGTTTGTGTAAGGTAGTTTACCACTTTTTTGTATTTGTAAAGTTCCTTGTTCAAAATAACTTCCCTTTGTAGAAGAACATTTAATTTTATCACTAAATACTATTTTCTTGATCTTGTGGAAGACTTCCTTCACTCCAAATGCTGAATGTGCTTGGAGTCCTAATGAGGGAAAAAAATAGATAAACTGGCATTTGGATGAATTGAGGTCATTGTGACAGAAATATTTTAAATTCTCATAAAAGTCACAGAAGTTAAGCACTTGGGCTGGAAAACAATAAGCAAAACAACAACTGTAGGAGGGGAAAAGGAAAGAACCCACAAATATGTAGGATATGGTGTGTCATACTATTAAATTATCCTATTAATTGGCAATAGCTTTAGGCATAGAGCCATTTAAAAAACGATGAACTTGCTTTGTTGGAATCTTTGATACAGAGCTCACTGGTGCATGACACTGGGCTCCAAAAGTACTTTCCCAGATTTATGTGGAAAAGTATTAATGAGAAAAAGAGGGTTTTTGTTGAATGTAATGTTTTAATACCAGGAATCTACTACCTCTTATTTCCACTGTTTTGTCAAAGATGCTTGATTTAATCCAAGGGGGCAGAATTGTTCAGTGTGTTAGAGGAGGACTTTTTTTTTAATAGAAGTAAACCAGGTACCATGTTATATTTTAAATGTTATGAACATGTCGTTAAAACCATGTGGTTTGACTTGTCATTTGGGTAGAACTGATGATGAAATTAGTCCTTGATGGAGACCCCCAAGAAGTAGGTTTTTTTATATTGTCCCTTCTTATCCTGGAGACGCAGTATTCATTCTGAACTACAAAGTGGACTTTCATAGCTGAACTTCTTTTAAAATAAAAGGCCTATATCTTCAACTTGAAGCAGAATGACATCACTCTAGACTAAAAGAAGTGATCTCTTCCTTGGTTTGTTACAGGTGGGATCACCTGGGAGACAATATAAAACGGATACAGAAATCCTCAAAATCAGCTACAAAAACCCAAAAGGTGTTTTTGAACAATTCTACTGATTCAACTGTGACTTAAAATTTGGAAATTAAATAATCTTATTTGAGCAGCATTTTTCAAAGATATTTCACTTTACTTTTTCCAGGAGTCACTGACGTGATGCCTCCATATTTTTTTTTCCAGCTTAATCTGTCTTCTTCTGCCTCCCTTCAAAGTGTGAAGTAGCTGTGGGCCTGAGTTATGAACGCTGTCCAGATTAGGGCCAGAATAGCTTTTTTTTGGCCCCATGAAGAAATAATTAGATCAGTGAGACCAAGGCACAAGGAAGTTTGGGAAATGTGTCCCATTCTCACCTTATACAAACCAGTTCCACTGCTGGCCACAGATGGAAGAGGGAAACTTCATTTTTTAATTATTATCCCTGTCTTGCCCAGTCTTAAACTAATAGTAGCAGACTACTGTAATTTCAACCAGGAAAGCAGAGTGTTCTTTTGTATAATTTTTAAATTGCTTAGTAATCATATAACTATTGGCTTGAACACAGTTGTACTTAGACACGCTGTCTTTTCTAGGTAACATTTCGGACGAGGATCTACCACTGTAACATTAACAGCCAAGGCGTCATCTGCCTGGACATTTTAAAAGACAACTGGAGCCCAGCATTAACCATTTCTAAAGTTCTCCTCTCCATCTGCTCCCTCCTCACAGACTGCAACCCGGGTAAGACAAATTAACCTTCACGTTCACTTTCATTCACAGTTCGTATTCGGTCAGCTTACTAGGACGTGGTTGCTGCACTGTTTTACAGCTACTTACTAGGAAAAGACAAAAATGGAAATTTTAATTGCTGTTCATTTAAATTAAGACATAGCATAGAAAGAAAGCACTATTTCAGTAGCTCAAGTGCATTTTTAGTACTTGAGAATAGAAATATTTTAATTCAGAAAGTCTAATCAGTAGAAAATACCTTGTAGTAGGCACCGATTTGGATATTACGACCAGGATATTAGTCCCAAGAAATATTAATGAGTTAATAAATATTGAAAAGGAATGCTTTAATTTAAATATGCTGAAAATATGGTCTCTGAAAAGAATATTAATAGTACTGACATTGATAGATTTCTAACACAGACTCTACAAATAATGAAAATTAATTTAAATGAGGTTTATTCAATATCCTGGGCAGCCAGTATGAGTATTCAAAGCAAGCTGTCATTCTTATTAACTAGCACAGCACTTAACCTCTTCCCCCAGCTCTTTTAGATTTGTTTTCTGCCACTGACCACTAGATCTGTAATTTCCACTTTCTCTTACCCTATTTACCAATGAATGATTCTGACTCTAGCCTTGGAAAATCGTAGTACATAATTTTTCTTTAATGATTCTTTAATAATTTCTAAGTGATGTGTTTACATGTCATGAGGATTGTTGCTGCACATAGTGTTAGAACCTGTGGCATTCCTCCCAGCTGAGACCTGGGGTGGTAGAGGAGCCCTGTGGTACCATTTCAGGCACTTTTATTTCAGGCATGCTGGACACTCTTTGCTTATGTCTCCGTAAGATTGACTAGTGTCTACCCCAAAATATGCAGAGATGCCTGTAGGAAGTTGGGCAGATGGATGACAGAAGTGTAAAGAAAAGCAAATGACTATTTGCTGGTGTGTCTCAGAGATCAGGTAAAGAGCTAGAGACACTGCAAAGCTGGTCTGGGGTTGGGACACTGGCAGTAAGTATGTGCTTATTTGCGGTCACCTCTCTTTGTATAGGTACAGTCAACTTGAAAGCTGGCCACTTTCCAGTAGTGATCTGAAATTCAGAAATTTACTACCTTTGCCCTCTCAAACTTTTTCTTTCCCTTAAACTATTTTACAGATGCTGTCAAACAACAGTTTTAGCTGACCAAGTATGTAAGAGGAACACCGAAAACAGTTACCCATAATGTATTATCATATGCAACAAGTTAACATACTAAACCCAGGAAGTTATTCTTCCCTGTTCTTTCCTGTGATGTTTTTGAGGAATGAATGCAATTTCTTAATTTGTATTGTGAATTCCACTCTTACGAGGAGTACTTGTGAACTGCTGAGTCGTTTTTGCCTTACTTTGACATTGCCTGTTTCATGTTAGCTATGTTTTTTATTATAAGTGAACTTTGCATGTTAGTGATGTACAACAGAAGACTTGCAAAAACTTGCAAGTTCTTACTTTTCAGTGTACTGCCTAATATGCTACAGCCTGTTCTGGTTGTACTGCTTGTCCCATTAATTTTTTATGACATTTTATCATAAACGAATTATTGGTTCCATACCATCCAGATTGAACATGAGAGAGAGAGAGAGAGATCACTGATACATATATATCACTGAGATACCCGTCACTGAGATATATCACGTATATAGATACAGAAACATATATGTATTTTCTTCTCTGTCAGCTGGGAGTAGTTTTCTAATCCCTCTGTCCTCTCTTCATCTAACTAGTCTGCCCCTTTCTAAAAGCAGAAACCCAACAGGGGTCTCGATTTGATAAGGAACTTTGAACTCTTTGTTCACCATTCATCAGCCAGAAGCAGATCAGGTCAAATGGAAAGGCAACATTGAATCTCCCACAAACATAAACACTTGGGATGGGCATGTTTTCCACCCTCAGCCTCTCTAAAGGAAAAAAAAAAAAACAAGTATCAGTTACCCTCTAGTCTTACATTTATGCAAATCTTCATTAGAACAACAAACAGCAGTAAGAATGGCAGCTAATTAACCCTCAGTCATACGCAGTGATTAAACGGAGCTGGAGCACAGCTGCAGCTTCATTGGCAAGCGCTGCTATTCTTCTCTTGCAGGCTGAGCAAATGAAAAGAGGTATTTGCTCCTGCCACTCCTGTCATTCACACAGTAATCTGCAAAAGCCACGGAGAGAGTCCCTTTCCTCCCCGGTTATACATCACCGCCCTTTGTTCCCTATCACGCCAGGCAGGAGCGAGTTTGTCCTTTTTAAACAACTAATACAATCCTTTACTCATAAGCTGTCTCAGACCCTTCAGTCCTGATTATTATTAATTGTCTCTATTTTGCTTGGCTATATCAGCCAGTAAACTGTGTTAATGAAATGTCTGAATTTTGTAATAGCTGAATGACATTTTTCAGTGGGGGAAGGGGTGATGTAGGTTTGTGTATGAGTGAACACGTTCGAATTGTCTGGGAGTGCAAGAGACCCAACTGGAATGGTGTCAGAAAGATAGAAGAGATTATGGGATACACTAGCATTGAACCCCGGGGATTTGGATTTTTTGTATTTTTCTTTAAGGTGGTACTCTGGGGCACAGCATGCATCTCTTTCTGCAAAGCAGGGCCCCAGTGCTGTAAATATTTTGGCATGTGCATGAGCAACCCTACGAAACCTGATGGATACATTCATCTGCATGAAACTGAGTACCTGAGTAAGTGTTCGTAGGCTCTGTGCTTGAGTGCTGAAAATACAGTGCTAGCTGCCAGAGCTCACCAACATGGACAGTTAGTTATTTCAGAGTAACTCCATATGTGGACACTCCCCTCTTTGAAAATGTATTAAGTCAAGTCACAAAAAAGTGCCTTACTTGGAGTAAAAGTCAACTGTACTTTATGTATTCAAGCGGAGCCTGAGGAGTGTAAATTCCCACACTGCCTTCATCCAAAGGTGCTTTCAAGTGTGGCTGGCCCCTGAGGTTTTGTATTTTTACAGAGCTTGAAGTATGAAAACAAATTGTTTTTCTGTTTAGAGAGCTGATGATGCTGATCTGGGTTAATGCTTACCAACTTCTCAGTTGGTCATTGCCACCCCGGCCCTGCCAAAGGTTCTCGATCCCCAGGAAAATTCTCATTTGCAAATGCTGCAGAGAAAACAAATTGAGACACTGACAAGACTGCACTGCAACTTTTTTCTTCATGTGGCCTCCTTCTTCACATGTTCAAAGGCTGAAGTTGGCTGGCCTCATTATCCCTGATGTCTGAACCGTCTAACATCGCATTATGTCTGCTTAATAACACGTGGCTAAGCCTTGATTAGGACATCGGAACAAAGCCTGCTACATCTCCCTCACACCAACCTCTTCCCTGTTGGTGTCATCCTCCACCTCTAGCTCCTGACCATTTTTCCCACACACAAGTTCCATGGTCAGTGAGGGTTTTATCCTTCAACTGACATTCCTGAACTGAATGCTCCTGGCCCTCTTCCCTGTGTGGCAGGCTGTGCCCAACTGCAAGCTCCTGTGATGGGGATGTGCACGGTGGCACAGGCACAGGATAGGAGGGGGCAGCCTGAGATGGGGAGCATCATTGCTGTCCCATCAATGTGCCTGCCTGGGCTGTCAGCTGTAACTAAAAAAACTGCTGAGGGGCTCTTCAGAGCCTCACTTGCTTTGCTCTTTAGAAACTGCTGCCTGATTTCTAGTGTGAGCTGACTCACAGGGATGTCTTTAAGCAACTCTTATCCTATAGCTTAAGTGGTTTTTATTCCCAATATATTAATGAAGAGCTATCCTTTTTCCTGCTGGTCTTTATTTGCTGCACACTAACCAGACCTGTGTCTGTTAAGCTCCTTTTGTGAGAGGCTTTCCATTCCCTGGCTCATCCTTGCAGCCCCCTCCTGCCCCTCCATCGTGCTGCAGTCATCCTTCCTGCCTGACTCGTGTGGAGTTCATGGGGGCATGAGGCATGGCTAGACCGACTGAACCGCTCATCATCACCATCATCTGCATTGAAATATTTACTACTCCCTACTGGATGTCCTTATCTCACTGGCAGCCCTGTCAAAGGTTATTTCTTTTTTAGCCCTGTCATTTTCACTGTTTGTCTGCTTTCTAAACCAATTTAGTGAACTAATGGAGAAAGGAAAAGGATTAGAAAAAGGGAAAGGAAGGAAGAGAGAGCAAAAGAAAGAAAAAGCTTTACTTAGAAAAGGGCATTAACCTGTGGCTAAGGAAATGCACAAACAACTGACAGCAGTAACCACTTCACCTGGGTCAGCACTGGCCAGGTTAGTTGGTCTGACTCTGCTCTCAGATACCTCAGTGGCATATTTCATTAGCAGTGTAAAGCTGCTTGCCTCTTGTTATCCTTTAAACCCACCAGAAAGCATGAGACAGTTTGTGCAGCTTTCATTGTAAATTTTGCTGTGAGCGTAGTTTGAGACTGAAGCGTATGTGTCCTCACAGTAAATGTACTTATAAGAGTAAATGAGTTGGACAGATACTGCTACATTACTTTGATACAAGCCTCATCAGTTTTTATAGAAGTTGCAGTTGCTCGGCATGTCTGAAAAGTTGACTGCTTATGTTAAAAAACTTTGCAACACGTATTGTGGTTTTCAAATATAATGTATTTCAGATAGACAGAAGTGTATGTGCTGGTGTTTTACAAGTACTGCCATGAATCATGAATTTATTAGATGGTTTCATATATTGTTAACCTACACTAAGTAACGTGGCTGTGCATTTTAATGACTTACATTTATCTAAGCATAGATAAACAAAGTCAAACATGATCCTAAAGTTATGGGCATCTTTACTTGTCTCACTAAGGGACATGAGACATGCTTTCAAGCTTTCTTTGTATGAGTCATCTTTATGTTTTGCCTTTATCTTCCCCCGAAACTTCATTGTTTTCATCAGAGTAGGTAAAACTGGCAATTTTAGATAACATACTATTGTTGTTTTTCAACTGTGATTACAAATTATCCATGTGGTT